CTATATCTGAATCACTCAGGGATATGTCTGTCAGTTTACTTTGGAATGTCATCAGTTTTCCTGCTAGAAATAATGTGTTTTAATAAGCGGATGCAAAGAGAATCATATTAAAGTAAGCATAAGAATCAGGGAGTGCGATACAGCAATGCAATGTATAAGGTAGGTGTATAAGGTTTTGTCTTTAGGATTAAATTATGAATTTTGTCTTTAGAACTCTTCATCTATTGGACAGTTTAGAACCATCTCACTTCTGAGTGTGGAGGGGAAGATCTCCAGAATTAGCCACAAGGGTGTCAACATGCAGTAAATGATTGAGAGCAAGTACGTTGATACATCTGTGCAGAACGGGGGAATCCCAGGCCTTTCAGGATGCTCGGTGAACACAGGGGTCAGATGACCCAGGAGGTGACGTCCAGTAGAGGAGACCTGGCAGTTGTCTGGCTAACACATGTGGATTCATCCCACATAGTTGATTTGGGTTGCATTGGAGCACTATCGTATTCCACACCACAGCAAGGGGATGATTACCAGCTACTATGGAGGAATGAAGGTACGGTTTCAGGCAGCATATTTTACAAACAGCTGGCGAGAGATAGAGAAAGTTATTGTAAACTTCCAGCAGTGGGAAAAATAGTGGGAATAGCTTGAGAGAGAAGTGAGTTATGGTACAGGAAAAGGAATCGGGAGAGACGAAGCTCAGCAGTGGATTTGGGAGTTCAGGGAGTATGGACAAAGTGGAATCTTCCTGAAAGAAGTTCAACTTGGACAGAATTGTGGCCCCTTCACGTCTCTTTCCATGACACCCTCCCAGATCTGTGTTATGGATTCGGCCAGTGAAACTGAAACCAAGTAGTGAACCCACTTGCGGGAGCCGATAGAGACAAGTCGTGATCCAAATACCGTAGCCGAAGGAGAGAGCCGAGAGTCCAGGGGAAGCCAGAGAACCAAACTAGGAGAAAGCAACCGAAGCCGAGCCGTAATCCCCTAGTAAAAGGGGAGAAACCAAAGTCGGAACCAGAACAGTACGAAGAGGTAGAAGGCGTAGCGCAACTAAGTAGCTCGAAAGGGAAACCAATACTGAGCGAGTGGGTAGGGAAAGACTAATGCTTAAATACCAGATGAGACGGAGGTGTGGTGGTGAAAGCGTACACTGATAGGTAGACTAATGAACTAAGGCTACGCCTTCTTCTGCCTCTTTCGTTGCCAAGAGGCAGGGATCGTAACAATCTGTACAAGTGGGGTGTGAGAAACGATCCACTGTGCAGGCTCTGTGGAGAGAGGGGTACATGAGAGTGGATCTTGGAGGAAGGCTGCAGTTTCCTAAGGCTGTACAAACATCCCTAAGGCCAGAAGTGGTGCTGTGGTCCCCAGAGACAAGGAAGGTCATCCTCATTTAGCTGACGGTGCCATAAGAGGAAGAATGTGAGGAGGCCTTTGAGAGGACAACTGTGACACCCTTTGATGTCCAGCACACTGAAGGGATCAGTGTGTCTGGGACCACAAGCTGGATCCCCATGTGTGATGGGTATTGGGGATTTTAATTATTGCCCTGAATGAAGAATTCCCAGTAAATTCATTGTCTTGAGTTAAGTCCCTTGCCATTTGTGTACACTGTCCCTCGCTCCTACTGATTGCATGGTTTAGTGCGCTCCTCAGATCAGCCCTGCCAATCAGTACCTATAAATACTGCATGGTGTACAGCAGTTTTATTTCTGAAATTATACCTAAATCCAATTTAAACTGGAATGTTAATGTAAATGTAAAATGTTTTGTGTATGGTGCTATTTAAAAATACCGTACAACATAACGTACAGTAAAGCAGAAAATTTGCAATACTATACAAGACTTTTACCAAACTGAACTGAATAAAGCCCCATAAGAATATTACTGAATATAGCCCCATATGGTTGTTAATTTTACTGTTTTGTGGCATGAGGAGCCAATATCACTGACTCACAGCTGGGCATCCTGCGCATATGGCAACCAGTGGGAAAGAGTCTGGATTATCTGACAGTAGCAGCTTTTGCAGACATCCAATCCTCTCACATTTGCTGATTCTTAGGCTGTGTATCCTAAATATAAATTTTAACAACATTCTGGTATGTCTGCTGGCTAGTGATAAATGAAAATAGCTCGAGCCAGTAAAGTCACATTTTGCTTTGTCAAACAATTAAAGGATGTTTCCTTTACTAAGTGCTTGATCCTAGACATTCCAAAGGGAGCAGTTTGAAATGAATTGCTTACTTTGGAGGGTTGACCATAAATTGTTTGAATTTAGCTCTGTAGATTTCATATTGGGTTTCCTGCAGCTTAAGACACAACAGGGGGATTTAAATAAGATATATTATGATTTGAAGAAGCACACTACTACTGGAAGAACTGCAGCTAAAGTAGCTGAATTACGCAGGGATTTCTCATTCAAGTAGCATTTATGTTTGATGGCAGTCCTCAACAGTAGTCAAATTTATGAGCACAGGCATGCAAGAAAAGGATCTTTGCAAACCTGCTTGTTCAACTTTGATCCTACCTTCTCTGAGACTTCATAATTCATGTTTATCAAACAGAGAATACTTCATAAAGTGATCTTGTGCACATCAAACACATCAGTTTTTTTAAACTTCTCATTTCAAGTGCACTTACTGTCGTAACCTTTCTTTTAACGTCTTGTGATTAGAAACCTAGAAGAGAAAAAAAAAATATTGTAGCTACAACATGTTTATATTATGCATAGGAAATAGTGCCCATATAGTCACATTGCATTTATATAATTTACTTAGGATCACAAGGGAATTAAGACTACAGGAATTACAGGCTGAGAGAGTTGCCTATTAGGAACTGCAGCACTCCAACATAAAGAAATATTCCAATTCTTTTTGTACAACTTTACCAATCTGATGCAGTGACAAGCAATTTGAAAACTGATAATGTACATTTTTCCTAGAAAATGTAGTTTTGTTATAAACCTCATGGATATGATTATGTTTTTGGTGATAACAGCAATAATTGATTGCAAAACATCTCCTTTTAAATACCATTCTGTTGTTTTTTCCTTTCTACGGTGATACGTTTCATCTTGAAATAAAAAATAACAGCTAAGCATCTCTGATAATTCTATTTCAAATATTTTTTCTACTGTTTGGGATCTGCTACCAGCTGATGTTTATGTGACAATGTTTTACCAGATCTCCCAGCTGTAAATGATCCTGAGTGATCGGAAGTGACCATAATTGCCATTCTGTGCCATCTTTTTGAAAGCAACAGTTGGAAAACTGATGTACGTGTAGGGTTTGTGTGGCAGGCCAGTCAATAACAGCCAAAAGACCTCCAGCTCCTGTAAATAGGCTCACTGGGTGTCAGTTTGTTAATTATTAAAATTATATAACCTCCCCTAACCTCAGCCCCCATCCTCGCAACATCATGTTCCCCAGCCTGGTTTGCCACAACTTGTCAAAAAGATGCGACTAAAAATTCCTCTTGCGAGGAAGTTTCGCTACAATGTGGTCAATCCCTGAAATGCACAAATTCCAGTTGTAGTAGATGAGTGAGTGCATTTATTATTGATTAAAAAACCTTTCTTCTCTTCTAAATACAGTATGTAGGAACATAAGACTCTGCCTGGCAACTGGGGCAGAAACCCAATGAAATACATTGAGATCCTCCGAGATACAAAGTGCTAGCTGTTATTTAATTGCAAGCTGTTATTATAACATGTAAATTCTCAACTGGAAGAGGAAATCTGTGAATCTTGTGAAGTATTTTATCATTTTATTTTTTCATATAGTGCCGTGTCAATACAGCTCAACGTGCTTCACAGTGAATGTTACATATCAGCAGAAGAGAGGTGAAAAGAACACGATGATATTCAAAGCAGAATTCTGCGATCTGGAATTAAAGGTTAGCACACAATTCATTGATCGTTTCAGCCAGAAACATTTTAAAAGGTAGGCTGAGCACAGTCTTATCTATCAAACTGAATAACACTTAAGCATTGGTTTGGATTTCGTACACGAACCAACTATCAAGACTATCCCAAGGAAAGCCTGAAAGTCTCCTTTTCCTTTAACATCTCTCACCCATGTACTAACAAAGTCTGGCTTAATTTATTTTCTGAGATATGATAAGTTTTATTCTTCAGGGCAATATAGCTTCTGGCTCAACGTATTACATGTACAGAACATGCTAACATTATAATCTAGGAGAAGTATCAGACAACGTGCTCAGTTATTGACTAGATTTTAATTGACCTGGTACCACATTGTCCATGAAACACTAAAAAAAAATGGAGTGATTTAGAATTGCCTTTTTTTTCAGTAGACATTTCTTACTTGTCTTTTGATTCACATTTCACCATGCTATTGAATATCTCTGAATTCCTCTCTTGACCTAGACTGCACACTTGAGACACAATAATCACAGGAAATTTTAGATGGAACTGCTAAATTACAAATGATTTAATTTTGAGCAAACGTCCACCGTTACCTGAAATCATTCATTTCAGATGTTTATTTTTCAGAAATGAATACATCATAGAGCTCATTATTTTTATCTTTCTACTTTCTAATGTACCTGTGACAAAGGATGATCTATGGTATTTATTGCAATCAGAAATTCTCACACGTCAGGGCTGTAAAAATAATGCAATGAATAGTACCTCTTCACAAATATTAATAGAATAGATTTTTCACAAGCACTTCACTATCTGTTGACATTTTCGGGCTGCTTCTCATGCATTTCAAATAGAGAGAAACAGTATATGACACTATTGTCCTTATGGTTGAGGTAAAATATATTTTTAGAACTGGATTAAAAAAACACATTTTCAATTCTGAAATATAATACAATAAACAAAATCCCTCTGTGAGAAGGGAAAAAATCATAGACCAGCAATTTCTTGTTTCTGTGGAATGCTCCGTTGTGCTCATCAACTTCTATATATTACTAATCATAACAAAATCATATGAAAAGTATTTTTAATGTAATTGTTTTACTTGAATTTTGTTTTGTTGCTTTTTTTTCAATGACTTTTCAGTGTGTGTAACATTTTCCAGAAGAACTTGTTTTACTGTAAACCCTGTGACATACAGTAGCAGTATAACGCTTCTGGAAACTTGTCTTGGCCCCAGTAAAGCCCAGAGAAGGCACTACAAGCAATGCCAAGCACTGTGGCCGGACTCTGACACTGACATGGTAGAATACAACAGGTGAAAAAAGAAACAGCTGGCCCTAAATGAATACAGTACTAATAAATAAAACACTTTGGAGAGGAGAAAAATGACAATCTCCATGGAAAGCTAAGGAAACCTCCTAAATAACTCAAGATTTTTTAATATGGCCTCTTCATGATGTAACTCACTTTACAATTTAGTTATGGGTGCAGTATTTATACAGTATAAATAGATATATTCCAAGATAATTTTGTAAAGTGGGCAATGAAGCATTCATCTTTATGATTGGTTCACAGATTACTGTCAACTCTGCCCAGCTTTTTTTTTAAATAGGCCATTCTGTCATTCACCAACTGAAATATCGTCTTATATGACATTTCATGGATTACTGTTGGACCAATCACAATACGCAACTGGCAAGGGTTTTACCTCTTTAGAGGCTATGGTTCTAAAGAGAGAAGTACATGAAAGTATGTTATTTCATTGTAAAAAAAACATTTGGTTTGTTTTTTATGTTGTTTAATATCCTTTCTTCATTGCCCTGTTGCAACAGAAAGAATAAGGTTCTGGATCCCGAGATGAAGTTAAACAGAAGAGTTTATTGCATGCAAGGAACAATAAAGCCGAAGTCTTGTTTCCCGCAAGAAACAACAAAACAGAAGTATTGTTCAAGGTGCCGGTACATACTTTAGGTTTATATAGTCCTTCCTTGCTGCTTCTGACGACACTGTTATTATGGTTAAGGGGGGAGGTCACGTGTTTGGCCAGTTTACAGCTTTTTGGCCAAATGGTCAGAGATTAAGTCCCCAGGGGGTTCCCTAGCTCTCCTAGCTCGCATCTGGAATCCTTATCAGTTAACCCCCTAACTACCATAAACTCCTGTTGCTTAGAAGTCTAATCTTCATGCAGAAAGGACTTAAAGTTAACATCTTGTATCCTTCTTCAGCCCCTATACCAGTGCTATTCTGAAATCAAGAAACTCTGAGCTTATTGGCAAGAGAAAGTGTAGTGGAGCTGCGAAGAGAGAGTAGGTGCTCTCTTTCTACTTTCGTTATTCTTTTTGTAGGCCTTTCAGCACTTTGAAAAATAAATTGTCTCCCGAAGTGATTTACGTTACCTGACTATGAAGCATGGTACTGAAGTCTGTTGTTTCAGTGATTTTTTCTTCAGATTGTTTTAGTAACTTCTCCACACAACAAGAGTTGTGTAGCTCTTCCACAACCTTCTGCTGCTCCTGGGAACCTCAACACTTCGGTGGCCAGCTATGACTCTGAAGATTCATTATCATGGTAAGTGAAACTTGATCTAAAAGCAATAAATATTTAAAAGATTATAGCAGTGATATTATGAGTGTTGCTTTTACATTAATTCTATCCTTTAAATTATTTAACCTGTGAAAAGTGCTGGTATAAATATAGGGATGTGAACAGACTAGTTTTGGGATCTTTGATGTCAAACTGGAGACTAGAAATATTTGGTACAAAAAACATCAAAGGGAACGCTAATAAAACTAATATCAAAATGTTCTTATGTATTACTGTGCAATCTCTACAGCCAAAAAGCAAGTACTAGATACCAATAAAATGTTAAAATCAGCTTAAAAACACAATATGCTAGATAACTGTATGTCAAATTTAGTGATCTTTGCATGACTTTGCCTACATACCTCAGTTTCCATTCTTATTTGCCTTTTATTTTGCAGCACAAAGACATTTTCCAATTCAATATTTCATATTCTGTGCTATTGTGTGCTTCTCCCTTCCAAAATTAAAATGGACTTTATGACAATAGAGAACCTGTATCTATTATTTGACCATATCGCTTATACTGTACCGTATGTGACTAAAGGCATGTTCAGCAAATGAACAGAACTCAGAAAACAAGAGGAATGGCTTTTCCCAGTTCAGTTGCTTGTCTTTCATTGTGTAAAAAAGGCCCATTCTTTCCCTGGCATCAGATTGGATTGTATGGTAGCAAACGCATCTTTAAGGATAGTCATATCTTCATAGAGCTTCATTGCACTTTATGCCACCTTCCCTGTCTGTGCTTCAGATAATTTGCAGGCAGACATTCTCACAAAGGAACCAAAAAAAAGTTTCAGTGCAGGCTAATGTTCAACACTACAGGATCCATTGCATGGCATGTGGTAGTATAAACCACTGTGTGTAGTTACACATCTCAGTATCTCCTTACACCCTGTTTCAACAAACTCACATTTTTGCAGGGCAGAACATAATTTCTGAAATACTGAAGTGTGTAAGGGAACCATTGACAGTAAGGGAACACATGCCCAAAGTAGTGTGCATTTTTCAAGTCTGTAACTAAATGTTCCTGACTAAACGGCACTAAAACATTCTGCACCAGAGCTTTGCTCTTGGTTGTCCCACTATGTTTGTTTTCACAACAATCTTTGAATTGTTTGAACTTTGAGCTCATCTTATTTCTGCAGCCAATGGAAGGGTCACTACAGTATGCCGGCATCGCACGTCATGGTCCACATACGTTATTTCTGCCACTGCAAGTCTTGTGTAAATTCTCTCTTTATCACAAAGGCATTTCCAGTTTTTACTAAACATTCTTCTGGAGCTCTTTGATCTATTTCAAATCACTTTACATTCATGTTTCACTAATACAGGCATAAAGCACAAGCATCTGAATAATTGAGCAGACCTTCATCAGACTCGGAATCTTTCGTGTATTCTGTGCTACGGTACGTCTTCTCCATTGGATGCCTGATGTTTTCCTTGTAGATTGGACAGGTATTTCGTGCCTGTTGTGACTTGGGTCTAAATGATGTAAGAAAGCTTTAAGGGTTCTGGAGACAAAGGCAATAGGGTTATCCAATCCATATGGTGTTAAGTGGGAGAGTACAGCCCCTTCTTCATATGGTGAGACCACACAAAAATGGGATCTCCTTGTTCTCATCATAGAACACTAACATATCCAATGACTCCACCAGCTGCTTTCAAAGTCAAAAGGATCACCAATGAGACACCAAAAGATAGCTTGTTATACAGTATGTGAGCAACCCTGTGGATATTCACAGTGACATACTTCTTAGACACCTGAAGAAGGCTCCACGGCCGAAACGTTGTGTTCTCTTTCTTCTTTTTCAGCATGGAAATTACTTGTTCTTTTGCATACTTCTTAGAGTCCTCATCTAGTGTGAACGAACGGAAGGCATGAGTCATGTCGAATTTAGTTAAATCTCGCTAGAGCGGCAAACAAATCGTCAGCTTTGGGAATGGTGTACTCTTCCAGGAGACATGGTTTAGCTGATTTATATTCACTACATAGTCTGGGGCCCCATTGGGGTCTAGCCTGCCTTGCTCCTTGCCAGGATAGGATCCAGTTCGCCTGTAGCGCTGTATTGAAGAAAGTGGTCAGAAAATGGATGGATAATCACCACATATTCTAACACACCTATCCTTCTTTAGAATAGGAAATATGGGTGCCAGTATGGACTGTCCCTAGCTTGATCATTTTTTTTTCTTTCTAGGGATGGTTGAGTTCAGCCTACATCCACATTTTCATTGGGGAAAACAAACTGATCTGTGTTTGAAGAACGATCTTTGGGTCTGCATTTCTGTCAGCATATGTTTGGTGCTGTACCCTGCATAATTCTGCATAATTTATCATTAAAAACCATCTCACGTACTGTATTTTAGCACACCCTGTAGTATCTGGTAGTTTGCTTCTAATATCTTTTTGGATGTTTTTTTTCCAGTTGAAGGTCGCTTCATTTATCCAGGCTCTACCTAATAGGTTGGGACCAGCTCCTACTGCTACCCAGTGCGTCTTCTCTTTGTATTTTGGGTATTATACTTAGTATTATGCTTCATCCAAGTATTTTATTTTTGGGGGGATTGTAGAGGTTAGGTTTTCCTTTCTTTGGAGGTTGCTCCTCTGTAACTTTGTCCTTATTTCTGCCACCCTTTTCGATGCAACCTTCCATAGTTCCAAAACATCTCATTCATGAAGCTGTGGTTCTGGGGACAGTATTTCCCTCTAGACTGGTTGCAGACTCTTAAGCCTGGCTTGCTTCTGTTGCTTTTCAGTGCTGAAAGCTGTCACGCGATCTTTGCACATCTGGACTGACATTAAAGACCTCCCTAGATGGCAGATGTAAATCTGTTAAATTTCCATTAAGAATTACAATGTCCTGAGCTGTGCTCAGCACTTTCACACATGTTAAATCCACTCCTGACAACACACATTGCTGGATACAGTCATTATTTATCCCACAAATTAGTCTATTATTTTCATCGCTTCGTAGCTAATCTGCAACAGTTTTTTTTTCTGTTGTTAATTCCGAGAATTGACCATAGATCACTATACATTTTCTCTCGATTTTGGTTTTAACGTTGAAAGTAGCTTCCAACAAGTTAACTGCCTCTTCAAATGTTTTACCACAGTGCTTCTCCTCAGATTCTGAGGAGATGCATCTGCGTCAGCAGATTCAACAGATTCCTCATTAAACTAGAGTCTTGCACAGCCACAGCACTCGGTCAGATGGCTGTCCCTTTCTTGACTGTCTTGATAGCATTGGCCATAAGAATGAGTGAGAATTTTCCCTGTCTGCGATTTAAAGGAGCACGTGTTCCTAGTGTGTTTGCCCTCATGAATCAAGAGCCTTCTTGTAATCAGTGAATTGTTCATCTGTCAGTGCTTGAAAAATTTTCTTTCCTCCCGTTTAAAAAAAAAAGTTAAGAATGGTAAAATATTTGATGAGAACGATTTATTAGTTTGATACCTGGGTAAATGTCCTTGGTGACGGGCTGTGAAGATAGAAATTTGCCTCACTGGGTCTTGAATTTATCCTTATGAACTTGGAAAACCTAATTCCTGTGCTCAGACAGGGAAGAACTCAAAGTTCAGCTCAGACATGTCAGAATAATAGGTCAGGAAACAAACTGAAGATTTTTATGTCAACTTAACGCTTAATACATTACATGTTTAATACATACAGTTTTAAAAAGCATACCCATATTGGAGTCTTATGAGGGAACTTATTTAGTGTAGCTCCATTAACCATTATAAAGTACTGTACAATTATTTTCAGGATGGAAAATAATTTGAAGAAACAGCAAAGTTCCAAAACCTTTAGTTTTGCTGCTAGGAATGGAAACTCATATCATCTGTGTAACACATTCTTGACTTTATTTCAGATGCTGCTGAAAACAAAGTCTCCCAAGAAAAGCAGTGGACTCAGTATCAGTCTTGTTGCAATGACTTTGAAAGTGCAGGTAGGAGGAAGAATGGTGTCTTGAAGGCTTGCAACAGAAGCACCACAGTGTATTCAGTACAGTATTGATTTTATTATTGTTTTGATGTCTATTTTGGACTTCCTTCCCTGTTGCTCAACTATCATTTGGTGTTTTATTTGTAACAGCATTGCAACAATAAAAGAGCATACTGAAAATTGAGACGTGTTTGACTAAGTCACTAAAATAAATCAAATATGAATTCATGTGTCTTCGGTGTTGTGCATATTGTTGTTCAAATAACAAACAGTGGCAGCTCATTTTTTTCTAATGACTGTAATTGGTACCACTGTTAATGTGAATGTATAGATTGTTAATAAATTACAATTGTTACATTCTCTGTGAAAGCTGTTTTCTACTTAAAAATGTCAACAGTAGTATATTGTGTTTTCATAAGTCCAAGTAATGTTCAGAGACTTTAATTCTTCATTCATTTTTACAGAATCAGTACATATTTTGTTATGTCTGTATTTGATTTTCCTTAAGGCACAGATCTGTGATCCATTTGAATGAGAAGGTGTTAATCACGTGCTTAAAACAAGAGTAGCTAAGGAGCCTTCTTCAACCGTAATCAATTACACCTGCAGAAGGGAAGGATAATGATTAAAATATTCTATACAGATTATGTGCGGCCAACGCAATTTTAATTACCTTACTACAAAATCCACGTTTATTATGGGAGAATTCTTTCCATCTTTTATTTCAAGGGTTACAAAAGGTGACCAAAATCACCTGAACTTTGAAGGACTTCTGTGAAAGTAACAGAAGGATGGGCCAATTAAAATTTGAAGCCTCAATTTACACGGTCTTTTGTTTGCGAGCGGGGCTCTATGATCCAGATATCCCAATAATATAATTGGCTGAGCAGGAGGTAGGGTTAGATCAGTTGTCCTCTACCTCCAGGGTCCTCTAGTTCATGGCGAAAGAGCAGCTTCCAAAACATCTTAGGCGTCTGCAGACTTGTGGCTACGTTATTTCTCCAAAAATTGTCGTCTTGTTCCTTCAGATGTTCTCTTCATAACTTATGCATGCACTGGAAAGATTTAAATGTTAACGTTTAGAGATTTTTTGGTAAAACCTTAAACAACGCTGACAAAAGTTATAAATCATAACATAATTGCATTATCATTTCATTATGGGCACAAACTTCAAGCCAGTTTTTTTGCAAGCCCTACCTAATGCACAGATCGTCCATACTAACTAAATTCATATTGCTTTTATTACAACTTTTGTGGGCTTCCAGTTTACTGGTACAGTATTTCTGTCCTTTACAATTTGAATATAAAGATGAGATCCTCTATATTAGAATTATCTGCCCACTAAAGAAAAAATAAAGTTTAGAAAGACATTCTGCGTTAATAATGATCCCTCAAAGATTTCCATTGATTGTTTCAGTCGTGTATCATCAAATTAACAATGAGGAAATACAGTATTTTTCACACATTTGGCATACAGTATATCGGTTACAATAAGCACAGACATCTATCTTGCATTTCTGTCTATTATACCTATACAATAAAACTAAATCATGTGTAGTTAATTGAGATTTTATTTTAACTACAGTATAATGCTTAGTGAAACCTAAGCCAGTTTGAACAAGTAATATTAAGTTTTGCTTTTTTATTCCGAGTACAGTAAATTCTTGGAATAGGAATCTTATAATCTGCTATGTAGTAGTATCTGTAATGCAACTTTAGTAGTAGCTGTAAGCCTAAACACAGTATTTTGAATGAAGCTTTATGATAATTCTGTACATTGCAGAGTTCCTTATTTTTATTAATTCAAAATCTATGTGAATCCAGTTCTAACCCTTCAAATAAGGCTGCACTTTATTTAGATATTAATTATATCACCTTAATTAGCAAGTATAAAATTAAGTCTGCCAAGGATTCCCCTTGATACTACTGTATGGTTATTGCTTCTAGGAACTCTCGATCATGTATTAGCAAAGTAAATGAAGATTTCTAATTAGAGACTGTAAGGTAAACTCTGGGAAACTCTTACTCATATGATGATGGCAACATATTCCATCTATTGTAACAGATGTTTATCTTGTAAACTAATTAAATATGGGGAGATTAATACTCTATTTTCACAATTTAATTGGAGCTCATGAAGTGGTGTTATTTTGCAACAACGGATTTCACTTTGTTACTCTCTGCTTATGCAATGCTGCAAGTCTCAGAAGGGAAACTCATTTCCATGGATTTTTAACGCCAGTTAAAAATATCAGGAATCCAAACTAAGTGCAAATGAAAGGGTGGCAAAAAACGTCCATAATATACAGTAGTTTTTGTCTGCTGCTTTTTCTTTTGTAAAGAATGCAGTTTACAATTCGATTGTGAATAAAGTCCATGCATTGGAAGTGTGAAAGTGGAGTGTTTTGCTCTTTGTGAGGCGATGATGGATACAGTATGACTGTGTGTGGGTTCATCATTATACTAATTACATGTCCTCTTTTCTAGGCTATTCAAATCATCATTCATTTCTTTAGATCAACAGAACAATTCTATAGTTGGTCCTTGTTATAACGTATTTTCTGTACTCTAATAGGTTCCAAAGGGAAGCATGAATGTGCTGACTATTGAACAGCTCATTTACGGCTTTTTAAGAACAAAACTTTGAGAATATCCCTTGGAAGAGTTTTTGCACTCCCAACAACAGTACAAATATAATATTGAAGCTGAGGTTCTTAAAATGATCTTATGTAAAAGAGAAGTAGTTTGTCTTTGGAATTAATTTAGCAAGGCATCTGAAATGAGATCTACTGTTAATAGTCTGTTTTTGCTAGCTGTACTGTATATTTTAAGTTCTATGTATTTATTTTGTGTGGTATGTGAGCATTTGTCTACTTCAAATTGTGTTTTTTTTAAATATGGAAATTACAAAAACACAATATTCCATATAGCCTTTAAGTTAGTATTGTGCAATTTTAGATTTATCCCCCATTTGCCTCTTTTTAATAAGATGATATACAATGCCTTGAAAAAATATTCAGCCCCCAACAAGTTTTGCGTTGCTGCAGATTCTAAATTTGAAATAGATTGATGTAGGATTTTTGGCACTGATCCACAAAGTATGGAGTACCATGTCAAAATAAAATACTGTACTGTAAATGTTCCACAATTTTCTAAAAATGAAAAAAAAAACAGAAATGATTACATTTAAAAAGTATTCATAAGCCTTGTAATTGCAAACTCCAATTTGCAGAGGTGCCATACAATACCTCAGAAGTCACAAAAAGTCTAAGTTGTTAAGTGTCTGTGAGGTCTCTGTGAGGTAGGGACCTTTGAAAAAAAATTAGACGAATCAGAGCTCAGTGCAGCCCATTGTGTACAAGTTAAAGAAGTATGAAACTACAGTCACACTGCCTCAACTTAGTTGCCAGACAAGAAGGACACTTATCTGAGAAGCTACTGTACTTCAAGGACACTGTGACACTAAGCGAGCTACAGAAGTCAGTGGCTGATAGAAGTCAGTCAGTGGTGTACGATAATGTACATCGGTCAACAATCTCCAAAGCATTCCACAAAGAGGGCCTGTATTAGAGAGTTGCAAGGAAGGAGCCCTGGCGGAAAAAAAACCCATATCCTTGCCCCCAAAGAGTTAGCATTACGCCGTCTGGAAGACTGCAGGGATGTGGCAGAAAGACTTGTGGTCTGACGAGACTAAAGTGGTACTTTTAGGCCTGAATGCTAAGCAGTGTTCATGTTATGGTGATGGTTTTCAGAGGGACTGGCAAACTTGTCAGGACCAATGAGAAGAAATCCCATTGATATACTGTATAGACTGTATACAGTATAGTAATATATGGATAGGCATTATGAAAATGCATCAGGTTCTAATCCCCTTATTTACATTTGTAATGCCTTTCTAAAATTCAAAATCTCAAGTTAAGATCACTGTTTAAAAATAATTTACGTGAAATTAAACTGTTTCTCTCTTGAACATGCAGTGCAAAATAGAGAACTATGGTATTGGGATTCATGTCCTTTGAACAACATGTTTATCTGATCTCAAAACACTTTATTTTATTTTTTTCAGTGCAAACCACTAAGAGGCCATGGATTTGTTCTGGATAAATATAAATGCCAGTGCAAGAAAGGATTTTATCATCCCAGCAGAGTGTCGGTCAATGGCTTCAAAAGTAAGTTCTTTGAGTTTAAGTTATGAGTTTAGTAGTCCACTGTTCATCTTCTTCCTTTTCAAGGAACTCCAGAAGCCACCCGGAAATGTAACATTTTAAAGACTAATTTTCAGTTTTCCTCAAGTACAATTGGGAGAATACGATCCAGTCCTGGAGATTTGTTAATGTTTCCATAACATGTAAAACCTCTACACCAGTGTCTTATAACTGGCGTGCTGCAGAATAGTGACACATCATAGACATTAACAAGTGTTCATCACAATTTTGGAAGAGTCACATATGGGAACAAAACAAAATGAATGAAAGATTTCAATGTACCTATATTACTTTTGAGCTGCGTTGCTGTAAAACTGTTCAAGAGGGAATTCTGTGTGGTGTGAGTTAAGTACAGTATTTCAAGTGTGAGTTAGTTTTTCAAGTGTGACGTACTGTACAGGATATAAAAACGGAGAGCGTCAGAGTGGCTCAGCAAGAGCTCTGTGTTTCACTGTCATCAGTTACTGCCAGGGATAAGGCCAACGTGCCCTTCAAGGCAAACACAGGTTGAACACTGTTTCGTTTTCTAACCTTAATAACAATGTGCCTGGGTCGGAGTGGTGCTCTTTTTTTATATTCATATAAGTGCTACTGAGGGTTGGAAAAGGTTCAGAAACATTTTCATAGACTTGTGCTATTGCTTCAAAGCAAGCCATGTTATGATCAAAGCTCCCTTAGTGTATCTCTCACCTCTGTTTGACGTACTCTTATCTTGATTGTTTGAAAAGACTAGACTAGATATGTACAGGCCTACCTAATGCAGTTGACTCACAACTTACGTTTGGGTTAGCGATTTCGAGTAGTATGTAAAGCCACATTTGCGTATAGTCCATTTGTACCGTGAACCCTTATAAAAAACCCTACTAACCTCTTGTAATTCAAGACATTAAATATAAGTGAACAAAAGTAAATAAGACAACTATATAGACTCACTAGCTGCTAGATCTTGTAGGCACGCTTGACAAATATTTCAGAGTATTTTTTCAATATTTTATTCTCTGGAACTGACTGCATAAAGCTGCCCCCTCGTCAGTTGAGAACATGTACATGTAAGTTGTGAGTCGACTGTAATCGGGAAAAAAGAATTGACACTCTGAAAAACACAGTATGGGAGAAACTGTTCATTGTTTAGTTTCGGCTGCTCACCTTCTTGATAGTTGTTTACAATCTGTGTGAGGAAAATTGGTATTTCCCATCATAACCACTTCTTACTTTGCACATACTGTACAGTACATCCCTGATTTCATTGTACAAGACTGGATTATGATTGACCTCTCACTTTGGTGGTGTGTAGCATCTTCTTACTATTCTTCATATTCTTAAGTTAGAAGTGTGACCCAAAAAAGATTCTGGGGCCCTTGATTTATCTAGCTCAAATTCCTGTGCTTGGGTGCTCTAAAATTAAAACTGGTATCTTAACAAATAAAAGTTCCCAAAGAAAAAAGAGAAACACAGCTAAAAGAGAAGTTAGGCTGATCTTTCGAGTCTTGGGCTAATTCCTCTTTAATCAGTGTTTTGCCTGCTTTTGATCTCATTTCCACAGCTAATCTCCTTAGCAAGGAAAAACAAGTTCTCAAAATAATTTCTCGACATTTGTGCGGAGGTGAGAACTGCAGCTATAAAATGTTCTGAAACTGGAACATCACCAGACTCACGGTGGCATGGTGATTACTGCTGTGACCTCACAATGTGCGAGGCACATCTGGGGAACCTTCTGTGTGGGTTTTTTACAGGAAACCCCTTTACAGACAAGCTGGTTAAGTTAATTGGAGATTCAGTATTGACCCTGTGCATGTGTGTGCATTGCAGTAGACTGGTGTCCTGTCCAGCGTGTCACCTTGTCTTGCATCATACTGGATATGTCCTGGATAGGCTTGCAACAACTCTTACCAGGAGTACGTGCATTTCTGACAAAACTGTGGGCGGATGAAAGAAAACGGCCAAAAATATCAATGCAAGTTGGAGTTATTAACACATGCAATAATATAAGGTTTAAACATTTTAATATAGCATGAGAGGGAAAAAAGGAGAGAGACTGTCTTTATCTCATTATATTTTGTCAAATATGTTGTAGTGTCTAAGATGGGGATTTGGTGTAATTTTGCTTGCACTAGAGCAAGAGATACAGTATAATAAAACAGAAGGTATGGACAGGATTATACAAGGTACAGTCGTACAGTAGTTTTCTTTCTCTGAATGAGTTTGACACTCATCACAGTTAGACATATCTAGTAATGAACATCAGAAAAAATGTTTTGGAAACTGAGGCACTGGCTTCTCCTGTGGCTTCACCTGAGATCTCTTGAAATGTTGAAGGGATTCATTAATTGCATATAACTTGCACATATACATGTATAAAACGTATTTCATACCAGAGACGGAAACACGTCTTCACCCACTGCTGTCAATGCAGCACTTCCTTGGGTGAGGTGTGGCAGGCATTGTGTTCCAGTTACACAGCAGGTCAGGTGCTGACATGAGAAATTGCTTTACCAATTGAAATAAGTGGGCACTATAAGGACACCTGATAGTGCAATGCCCAAGCCTCCAATTAAACTTTAACCTTGCATACTGAAGCTGGGGAATAGGGTACCCTGAAAGTAGGGGTATTTTTGACACTAAGGACTGACCAAAGAAACAAACTAAGTAGAAGTGTTAAATCGTCAAATAAGCATTGCAGATAAAGAGGTCACCTGTAATGACAATCAACATATGCAATGGTCAGGGATAATAAGAATTAGAATAATATTCTCTAAATCCCCAATTCATAGATGGGGATTATTAAGAGGCCATGATTGGTAAAGGCCAGGGGGAAATTTGGCCAGGACACCAGGGTAACACCCTTATTGTTTTCGGGAACTGAAGAGAGTCAGGACCTCCGTTTTACATCTCATCCGAAAGACGACTCCTTTTTACAGTATAGTGTCCCCGTCACTATACTGGGGCATGAGGACTCACACAGACCCCAGGGTGAGCGCCTCCTACTGGTCTCTCTAACACCTCTTCCAGCAGCAGCCTTAGCTTTCCCAGGAGTCTCCCCTCCAGGTACTGACCGAAAGACGACTCCTTTTTACAGTATAGTGTCCCCGTCACTATACTGGGGCATGAGGACTCACACAGACCCCAGGGTGAGCGCCTCCTACTGGTCTCTCTAACACCTCTTCCAGCAGCAGCCTTAGCTTTCCCAGGAGTCTCCCCTCCAGGTACTGACCAGGCTCACTCCTGTTCAGCTTCAGTGGGCTGCCAGCTGGGAGCTGCAGGGTGTTTGGCTGCGACATAAATTTAAGCCCCCTTTCCTATTACAAATCTAGATTATTTAAGGGGCACACAGCTGTATATATATTCCAATACAGTAACCACATATATAATTCTATATATTAGCATGGACACAGCCAAAAGAGTTGTTTAAATCAATAGAAAATCACTTGTTTGTGTGGTCTAAAATACAGAGGTATTGTAATTCACAAACACACACACACACTTATACCAGAGGCAATTTTCCCAGAAACCAATTAACCTATGAGTATGTTTTTACACTCTGTCTCCTCTTTCTTATATTTTTTGAAAACCTGAAGCAAATCCCTGTAATTCTCCACAGTATTCTCCATGTACACAAAGACACAGAGAACTTACAAACTCCACACACAAATATCATCCCAGGTCCGGAATCAAACCCAGGGCACCAAGGGAGCTGCAAGGGAGCAATGCTAACCACTGTGCTACTGTGACATTTGTACTGGATTATTTCCATTGATAAAGAATTTTAAACAAAATGAAATTAAAGGAACAATGATTTCTGTATACATCTTGGAGGTAAATCTGAATTATACTGTACACATGCAGTGATAAACAGTATACTATATTTTTGCACTGTGTTTGATAAAGTAATAGACAACAGATAAACATCTTTCTTCTAGCATAACTGAGGGTCCGTGAAACATGAAAGATATTTTTGGCAATTAAAGTTGGCTAAACAAATATTGCTTGATATTCCAATTACTTGGTATTGAATCTTAAATGCAGTGTGTCAAAATGTATTGCTTATACGCAACTCTACAGTTGCATTTTATTGCTGTGTTATAAATATGCTGTGTTGTTGCTGTGTTATAAATATGCTGTACATAGAAAACAATCCACACTGTCATGATGCTTAAGATGTTTGCTGTTGTGAGGCTGAACGCTTCCGTAAGCCAACAGATTAGGCGAATACGAAGACATTGCTTTCTTTTTCAGGGAAGGACACAGATAATGATGTTTCGTACAGAGGGGAATTGTCTGATGGAGCCAGTGAGTGCTTGCCTTGCAGGGAAGGATGTTCTTACTGTAGAGATGATACCCCCTGCTATAAACAGGAGGATGGGCTGTTACGCCACGCTATCATCTCTTTTCAAGGAGTCTGCATGCTGCTGGATTTCATCAGCATGCTGCTGGCTTACCATTTACGCAAAAACAAGGTAAGAGCTTGTTATCTGCGCATTGTGTATGTAGTTTCAAAGGCCTTATAATGTGTGGTTTCCCAGGAAATATTAGCCTTTTGCAGCTTTTCAAAAGATAGAAAGCAGGTTTGACAGGAGTTTGTCAATGGTGCTTTGAAAAATATCTCTTTAACGCTCTGCACAGTGTGACGTACGGTGTATTCCAGGTAGTTCCAGGCCGCCCCTGAAAAAAGCGCAGCCAAAAAGCTACAGTACATACTAGAGGCCACACTTGGTTCAAACTGGAAACTTCACCTACTGTATGTGACTGATATTGAATAAAAAACTTCTGAATGTGGTCAGAAGCAGATTTTACCAAAAAAAAACTGAAAATTCTTTGTAATGTGGATGGATCTGAATTTAGTGATAATTCTCAGTGCCATGGGTGTCAAAAGAGAGTGGCAACATTCTATAATTTTCTTCAACACAAAAATTCGGAATGGGAGGGAGACACAGTGAAAGAGAAACCTACCCCCTTAAGGAAGAATGAGGGACAGAGAAAGATTGGTAAGAAGAGATCTTTTATTCAGGCCTTTTGCTAGTGAATGCTTTGAGTGATAATTGGAAACAGGGGAAGTCCAATCTTCTGTTCCTCTTATTAGCATTCGCTAGCACTATAAAGGTGTTAATATAAACTGTTCATGTATGTCTATAGGTTTTTTAATTGTACCTGTAAAAGCCAGACCCTGTTCTCCATTAACATGCCATAAAACATATTGTAGTATTTGTGGAGAAATGCTACTGTATATGGAATGTTATTTATTTCTTAGCAAGTAGATACTAATGTATTTTTGTTCATGCAAAATCTTATTAGAACAATAACATTGCTCTCTGTGGATTGGTGTGGACTTGCTCATCTCTGCAGTGCACTACAGTATGACACACTGTGGTTATATTGACTGAATAGAGGTCAGCAGGCCAAACAAGCTGAATGATATCATTTGACTTGCTGCATGACATCTGGATCCTTTTTTATAAATCTGTGCGAAATTTAAGAAAAGTGTCTTGTGTTTTTGAGGTTCTTAAGTTTAAGTTAATTTATAGTATGGTAATTACTGTATTTGTGTCATTCCCTTTATACAGTAAGTAGAATTTCACAAATATTCAGCATCAGATGTTTTATTTGACTTCATATGACATACATTTACATGTCATTCATTACATTAATTTGTACATCTAAGAGACAAGATACCTAGCTCACATAACATGACGACACAAAACGTAACATGTACTGTAGCAGCCTTCAAGGATTTTGAATTAAACTCTTAAGTGGTTTAAAAAAACTATATCCATTTAGAACTGAAAGGCTGACTGAAGTCACTATATAATGCTGTAATTGGCAAAGTTCTATCAGCTTGTTATTACATTTGACTGCCTCTGTATATCCTTTTAGTTGCTGTACTAACCATGGCTCTTCATAACAACATTGTGTGTTTTTGTCTATAATTCATGTCACAAACCATGATGTATACTGACATGTTAAAGTGAAATTAGACTTGAAGGCCTTAATGCTATTTTATGCAGTAGAAGCATAAACGTTAACGGTAGTAAAGAACCAGCCTTGGGCCCACCGTCTAATAGAAAAGAAAGGGCAATTGTGTTAAAACAAAAACAGCACTGAGCCTTTTCAGCTGTTTTCCTGAGCCTCTAGTACTGATTTCAGCTTGAGTGATTCAGAATGACTGCAGTGCATGGAATTTTTACCTCTGTTGTCTGGCATCACAAAGATGTCAGAAGAAAATCATACTTGCAGATGTAAGGACGATCCCCCCCGGTTGTAAAGGCAGGTAAAAGTTAACAGTATAGAGCAGCAGCTGAGAATCAAATAACGCTTTTCTCACTGATGGCCAGAGTGAAGTCAGCCTGTCCACCGGCGCTGCAGTGTTTTAAGAATGCATTGCTCACATTTTATTTGAAACAACGCTGGGTTGAGCATCATTACCTTTGTCACATAATGTAATCCATGTTCAATTTGTTTATTGGTTTTTCAGGGAGCAGAAAGACTATAACTTGGCACCATATACTGTACAATAATAAATACATGTGAACAACCATCATGGCAGGAAAGACTTGGTACCTTAACAAACCGTGTAAATCAATCATATAAAAACAGGAAGAAATCAGTAGAAAAAAGGAAACCAGAGATTTGGAAGGGAAAAGCAAAGGAAAAAGAGAAAAAGAAAAAAAGGTAGTCAAAGGACAGAAGAGAGAAGCTACAGTCTTCAAGGTCTTTCATATGTCTGTTATGCTCCATATATACTATACATACAGTATACTGTATCATGTACAGTACATACTGTATATGCTGCACATATTGTGTATACATACAGTATATTGGTTTCAATTAAAAAAAACTTACTGTACATATGTTTTAAAAAAGTTCCCGTAAAAAAAAGTTTCTCAGATATTTTGATAAAAGAGAAATTGCCATGTTATGTACAGCAGATTAGAAAAAAATGGTGCATTGTTGCTGTATATAGTCTGACTTGTGGGAAAGTACGCATATGAAAAAAAAATCATAAAAAGCCATCTTAACTGAAGACAGAGAGTACTCTCTTTAAAAGCTTTGTGAGCTCTATAACAGTTGACAAGCTGTATCTCTGTTCTTTGAAAAAAGACTTCCGAGTTATCATATGCCGTAGTCATTGAGGGATTTGGGCCTATTTTTACGTAAGGCCATCCTGTGAGTTTTGCAACAGTGCACCAAGTATGCACTGTTCATTTTGTTCGCTAGTCATCCTTTTGTTTCCTGCTGTCTCGCAAGGGAAAAACATTTTACAATACAATTGCCTTGAAATATCTTCTAATAATTATTCATTCAGTATTTCTTTTTTTTTACCAGTAACATTTTACTGAAATTATATTCAGAATTCGTTTTACATCCAAGCATTTCAAAGGGCACACTGTCTTCAGATGTTAATGTTTCTTTATTAGCCCTACACAATTTCTTGCATTAGGAATGCATTTTTTCGCATACCCCAGCTTTTCTCCATGGAGACACAGACACAGAGACTTGGGGTCAGAGCGCAGGGTCTGCCATTGTACGGCGCCCCTGGAGCAGTTAGGGCTAAGGGCCTTGCTCAGGGGCCCAACGGAGTAGGATTCCTCTGCCAGCCACGGGATTTGAACCAGCAACCTTCCAGTCACAGGCGCAGATCCTTAGCCACAGAGCCACCGCTCCGCCATGGTTACATGGTAGATGACTACCATGTAACCAAATCTACCAATAAGGTTGAGTTAGGCAGGACCACATCCTGCCCTGTTAATGCCTAATGATGTTTTACTATCTCTTCAGAACAAAAAACAACAGGGAAAAAGACTAACTGTTGCACACACTGCAAGTGAAATAGTCAATACATGTTCCATTCATTCAGTAAATAATGTTCTCTTTCACAAAAACAATCCATCCTTAAAAATAATACCAAGCAAAATAATTTCCCTCCAGAAACGTATTTCCACCGCTCAACACAAAACATCCATAGCATATTCTCTCATTTTTTAGAGATAAGATTTTTATTGAACTCAGATGTTTTACCTGGTATTAAGAGAGGTTTAGCTTAAAACAGTTACACTTAAAGCATAACAAGTCGAGAAGAAGTATTCTGTGGAATGCATGTTTTATCTTAAGCAGTTCAAGTCTTGCGGTAATGGTCAGTTAAGGTCCCAAAGATGTTCTCTTCTATAGCCTGTCTGGCACTAAGCAAATGACTTCACAGCGCGGTCTGTAATCGAACAGCATTGCGGGCTGTGACTTACTGGTGGGAGTTCTACAACTGAAAGAGCCTCCAGGATGGAATTTGGTCCTCTTTACTTAGGTCTACCTTGTGCAAAGGCTTCAGCTTTGCAGCGGCTGAACTGAACTGAGTCTTCCCGGTGACAGAACAAGCCTGTGCCCAAAAGCACAAACCCACTCCAACAAACGGGGCCATGGTCCTGGCACCTGCTAACACAGCTTCCCGTTTTTCCGATGGCACCAGACAAACGTCACAAAAAAGGATAACATAGCTCCAGAATAGTGGAGCAGCATAAGAGTGCAAGGAAGAGCACAGCCAAAACAGCAGCAATAAAAACATATGTAGTGCTCTGCTATTTTCAGTAATTGAAGTCTCCCAATTAGCTTCATCTTTCCAGCATCCTATGCGCTAAGGCCACATACTGACTCCACCAGCAAAGCTCTGGCAGACACCAACACAGTACTCTTTATTCATTTCCAGTTAATCCTCCCCTCTCCTATACAACCCTCCTAGTGATGAACTGTATTTGTGGATATTTTAACCACACTCCACAGCTTTTTAATGCAGTTTTAAACTTTCCTGCCTCTTTGTGCTGTTTTTGACTTTTGAAAATATAAAGTGTGCTGGACACACAAAGAAATAATACATTCTTGAAATCTTCTCCTATAAAGTTTGGATGCAAAATTTTGACAAGGGCTCATAGTGTGGCACGTAGTGAAAAGTGAAGAAGAACACAGATTAGCGGCAGTAACCAGGCTCTCAGTATGGCCTTGGGTGGTGGCTAATACAGGATGTTAACAGAGAGCTGAAGTGCAGCAGTACCTGCCAGGAACGACAACAGCACCATGGAGGGTTTCATGTCTATATATAGCTGTGGTGCTGGTGCTCACTAATAACCCACTTACGTTCCTTGAGACTGAAAATCAATTTTTCTGTTTTATTTCTGTTCCATGGGTGGTGAAATCTAATGGTTTTATGTTTGTGATAAAACATTTATAGCATACTGTATATCGCATCCACTTTTTGTCTTTATCAGCAGTAATTTCATATAACAAATGAGGACAAGAGTAAAAATTCTAAGAGGAGGTGCATCGGGACAGGGACTGAAGACTCGATGTTTCCTTTCACGAAACATCGAGGGCACGAAGCAGTCCTTCGTGAATGGATGAAAACTGTGGATCGATAATCTATTGGCAACCAAATCAGGAAGATGGGCTGAATTGTTTTCTCATGTGTAACCTTCAGTGTGTTCTACACCATGCTGCAGTGTAGCTACAGCAGAAGGCGCAACTTAAAGAAGTAAAAATTGACACTGCTTTCTCTTTTGTTCCAGAGTATCAGAGCGTCTGGTTTAGTTCTCCTGGAGGCCATCCTTTTTGGAGCTTTGCTGCTGTACTTTCCTGTGAGTCTTCATTCCTTTATCAATGAGAGTGACTGCTCAAGCCCTGTGATGCAGGATAATAATGTGCATGTTCGTAAGGGATGCCTAAGACACTTTGACGTTTTCACAGTGTGTCTAATATTAATTGGAACCTGCGTAATATGTGTCTCTTTTTTGGAGAACTGGGTTGTATAACTGGAACAATATGTCGGTCCCAGTTAAGGAATGCAGAATACATACTGTAGGGAGAACGCTTCTGTGGTGGCCAGTCCACCTACTGCAGAGATTCATAAGCCTCTGGTTTCAAGTTCCAAGGAAGGCTTTGTAGAAGCAGGCAATATGAAATGACTTATTTTTGCAGTAAGCTGAAAAACTGCAACGAAAACGAAACGTGTTAAATGGTGAGCTAAAACAAGAATGTCTTAAAAATAGAAAGTTATGCAAAACAACTGCTCCATCCATTCCGTGCTTAGGGAATTCATTTCTGAAAGCAGGTCCTGACCTCATTTAATCAAATAGGATTTGAGGTTTAATTTCAGTTCACAAGGAATAGTGACATCCAAGAATGATGATGATGCTTTGTAAATGTTTATTAAGTATTTACTTACTAAGCTGTGGCTTAAACCGATTTGGATAAGGGGGAGGCTCCTGGCCACGGGATGAGCAGAGGGAAGAGTTATTCAAGAGCAGCTGCGAAGCTGGAGGTGGTGTTGAAGTGCGATGTGTGTATCCAAGTGTGAGAAGAGGTGTGTGTAAGATATACATAAATATCTTAAATTGGTCATGATTGGGATTTAAAACAGCTGGGTGACATTGGCTTTGTCTGCTGTTATCCCTCCTGAAATTCAGTTAAGAACTTCTGTTTCATGAGGAATAAATGCCATCCGGGAATCAGATGCTTTGGAAATGTTTAGTGTGTGTGAAAGTATAATGAGTTTTGGCCTCATCCGCTTGGCTAAGGGGCAGCCTCCTGGCCATAGGACGAGGAGGCTTTGAACCCCCAAAACCACCCTATGCAGCTAGAGAGGTGGAAGGAAGGTTCAGACATTGGGAAAATGCAGAGATTCACACGACTATGTAAAAAAGCTGGAGCAATGCCCCTTTTCCGAATGTCAGAATTGGTTCGGATGTATGCTTCTGAGAACCAGAGACCTCCTCTTAAGTAGGTGTTCAAGAATACTGCACTGAGCTGCCAAGAAGGCTGCACCATCAAAGTGCTTGATGACAAATAGAGATTTTTATTGATGTTTGATGTTTTGGTGAAAGAGGAACCAGCTACAGGACGTGGTGAGACCATTCGTATTAACAAAATGAGAAGCTGGAAACCACAGAGAGCATCACCAATGTGTAAATAGCATGGTGTCACGCCCTCTGCAGCCAGAGGGCGCTCCTTCTCTGTCCTGTCCCTAGTTTCCGGTCTGCTGTCCTTCCTGTCCCTCTCTTTCCCTTGGGCTATATATTTCCGGGTCTTGCACTCTGTCCTCGCTCAGCATTGATGTTCGGATGTCCTGAGACCCGCCTAGCACCAGGGCGCCCCACGTCCGCTCCCTGAGGGCATAGGTTTCTATACGGCATTCTTGAACTCTTTGCACTAATGAGCCCGGGCCTTTTTCCCGTCTCGCCGCTACGCATATGGGTCTTTTTCCGCTCTCCTGCTCCCCACGGTTAGTCCCTTTGGACGTCCGTGACACATGGAGTATGAACTGCATTACTGCTGTATATGATTAAATATTGTTACAGGCTATGGGAGGTAAATATGGGAGTTGTGTCTAGATACAATGAGTAACACCTACCTAGTGTCAACATTTCCACTTCCTTAGCTGTAACCTGGTCCATATGGATAATCTGGACAAGGACCTCTTGCCTGGCACAAGCTTTATGTTCTGTGTCCTCCTGTCTCCTTTCTTGTTCACTTCTGATCCCTTCCCCTGTGTCTCTCTGATCTACAGAACCAGAAGATTCTGTTGATTGATGTTTCTTACACCCAGCACAACACAATAGACACCCTTTGGTTTGAAGCGCTAGAAAGTGGAAATGTTGACACTGGGTTGTTACCCACTGTCTCTTGATTCTTAAAGACGCTTCCATAGTCACCTACCATAGCCTGTAACAATATCAATTAGTAATAGAAAGCCATTTGATAACAAATGTTTATTTCCAATTGAGACCCCAAAGAATGGCAGCAATAAGGATGGGGGTATAATTTAAATACGGAAACTTAAGTAATAACTGAGCCTGAGGTAAGACTCTGGGCAGACCCAGGGGCCAAGGAGGTAGTGTGCGGAGCAGCCGTGTCCAGTCAGAGGAACCCAGGATGGGAGACACCCAGGGTGTTGATTGGGTCGCGTTGGACGGCAGGGACAGTGACAGGAGGAAAGACAGGCAATAAAAGCTGTAGGATGCCTGAAAACTGTGACGGAGGTCGAGTCGAGGAGGTGGCATCAGGAGCCGCGGGTACCGAGAGGGAAGAACACAGGCCGGCAGGTGCCAGGCGAGTTGTGATTGGGTCACGTTGGATGCTGGAGACATGCTGAATACAGAGAGTGTTTTGCAAACTAACTAGAGTCCAGTCTTTGATGCCATGGATCCAGTAATGGGAGATGCAGTAGGAGCAAAGAGGAAGCAGAGGAAGATGAAACAGCAAGTTGATTATGAGAAGCTGGAGATTCTTGGTTAAGCTCAAATATTCTTTGAGGAAATCTGGAGATCCATACCGTATAGGGATATATATATATAGAGAAAAAGAGATTACAGCTGATTTTCTTTCCTTTGATCTTGGGTTGTTTTGTTGTGTTCAGTTTAAAAATCTTATGCAGTGACACTTAGTTTTTGTCTCAATTCAATTGTGTGGAGCATGGTCCACATGTTGAATTATGCACGAGACAGAAAATAGAATGTGTATTTCTGTTTTTTGTAGTTTTGGGCACAGTTGTATAAATGAATAATGCGGAAGGCGAATGCAAGACTGAGGACATTTCTCTCCTCCATCTTGTTTCCTCCTACCTTCTTTTTTGTTTTAAGCATGAGCCACAGAGAGACGATTAATGCAAGAGGCAAAATGTGAGAAATGTGATTTCAGTGTTTCTTTCTTTAACCTTCTCTTTTATTTTTGTCACTTGGACGACTGGTCCAAGCATTGAAGAATTGGTGTACAGTATGCGAAAGGAGGTGTTTGCAAGAGATATAAACAGTAGAGAGACATTCTGTAATGATTTAAAATATCATGGTGTTTTGTCTATTGTTATCTCTCCCAAACTGTGGTTAAGAACGTCCACTTCAGTAGAATTGGACAGACTCTGAAATAAATGTGAAGGCAGCAGTGTATTCAGTGAGAGTAAGAATAATGATATGATTGTGTTTGAGGTCAAATGGTTCGGAGGTATCGGCAGTTTAGATCTTTGGATGTTCCTGCTTGGCCAGCGGGACAACTGCTTCATGGCCAGGAATATGAGGCAGTGTGAATGTGCACATGACCCAGTGGGAATGGTCCTTCCTCACAGCACACCTGTCTTTCTCTCTATTTATAATCTCCGCAATGTTCGAATGGCAGAAGATATTGATATTACAAAGAAAACTGCAGAGGGCAACTGATTTCAAGATGAACCAAGCTCATTTAGAATATATTTAACATCCCGAAGACCATGCTATGCATACGGAAGATAAATAAGTTGATGTGGGCACGGATCGTTCTTAATGTTGTGAGCAATATGATTGCAGTTTATGTGATGCAAACATAAGGGTTACTCGTTAGGACCTTAAGGTAGATAGTAAATGCAATTCGAAACCATTTATTGAAAGCCTGGTGCTAGTGCAAGAGGAAATTGAAAATGTAGTTGAAAATGAACTAATTTACATCATGTAATCAATACAATTAGCAGCTACAATATTCTAAGAAAGTAATTATTCTTAAATGATTTGTTTTGCTTTTCAGTGGTGAGAGATTCACCAGAGGAGTCTATGATGTTATGCCATGTATTAGTCTATTATCAAAGGCACATCTGTTTACAAGGGGGATGTGTTTATTCCCCAGAGGCGTACACAAACAAAATCTTAGCTTTTTGCAAAGAAGTGCCGTGTAATTCAAATTGCTTGACAGCTTTGGATAAAAGGACAATCCAGAAGAGACTGTTATTTAACAAATTATAGAACTCGATATCATATTTCTATGCTATAATCTATAATGCTATTAAATGATATTACATGCTAAATATCAATTATTGTATTTTTTAAGATTGCCATTGAATGGAAAATGTCATGCTTGTTTTTCCTAGTACACAAAATACATTAAACGTCAATCTAGACTATAAATGTTCAAATTAATCAAACAACATTTCTTTTGTTTCTTTTCAACAACTCTATTTTGAAAATGTCCTCTTATAAGAGGGTAATCTCTTCGCTAGCTCTGTCCAGTTTTTACATTGTAAGAGGAGGTCATTATTAATTAAGAATGAGCAAAATCAAGTTCCATGAAACTTAGACAATTTATCCACCCATCCATTTTCTACCTGCCTCTCCCTGAGCTGGATCTATCCTGATGAGCCACAGGCAGAGGGTATTGCTGGACGGAACACCAGTCCATCACAGGTCAGCCTGGGGTCACTTTTCCCAGAAGCCAATGAACTTATCGGTATGTTTTTGGACTGTGGAAGGAAACCAGAGCACCCAGAGGAGACCCACACAAATACAAAGGCATCATACAAGCTTCACATAGATAGTATCCCAAGTCCAGAATTGAACCCAAGGCCTCAGTGCTGCAAATTAGCAATGCTAACCACCGCACCCTTGAGCTGCTTAAGACAGTTTAGAAGATTATATCTGAAAATTAGAAATCAAACATTCTTATGGCTTTCCTTTTTTTTCTGCACAGTATGATCAAGTCACTTATCATTGTTAGTTGTAAACTATGTATGGACACAAAAAACGCAGACACAAAATGAAATGCTTGAGTTAACAATTGTTCCTTTGATTCCTCAGACCAGCACAGTGTTTCTGTTTTACGTGTTTTGCAACAGTTCGGTGCA